TGCAAAATTTTGACACAAAAAGGACAAGGACTTCTAAAGCAATGAAGAAGTTTAGGTTTCAAAATAAAAATAAGCAAAACACAGTCATGATACAAAAACAAAGAACTAAAGAAAGCATTTCATTAAAAAGACGAACATGTTAAGAGTTTAGAAAAGATGTCATCGAATAAGCTAAGGACAAACTCGTAGCTAGAACAAGGAAGCATGCAAAACTTGAACTTAATGCAGAAACACAACCAACATACTCATTCCTAACAGCACAACATCCCAAAAACTAACCTAGAACTAAAACTAAGCTAAACAACCTATCATGTAAATTAGAAGAACAAAAGCAACCTACACAACCTAACATACAAAATCAAGATCCAAGTATCAAAGAAAAGAGAGGGAGATACTCCCCTAATCATCATCTGAAGATTCATCGTTAGTGGAATCGGTAGGAAGACGAGAAGAAGATGGTAAGTCAGCCATAAGCTCATCAGGGAAAGAAGGTGCTCCATCACCGTAGACCTTCTTGAGGAACTCACATGTGGCATGTTGAGTAGTCAAGAGAAGCTCGTACTTGTGCCTTAGCTCGTCACATTACTCCCTAGTCACCACTCCTCAGGTCTTGGGATCCGCGACGGTAATGGGAGAGTCTTCCTCTCGAACTATCGAATATCCCCAAACTTGCCACAGGACCGAATGCTCCTTTTTGTACTTGTGCAGGGGACTCCTCTTCCTCTTATTGTGACTCATGCACCAGAGTACGTATTCTTACTTCATATTGGGAGATATCATCGTCTTCTTCTTCCTCACACTCATCTCCATGCATTTCTTGGGGTAATTCTCCAAGATCTCCATCCTCTCCATCAACATTCAATCTTTCTTGTGCTTCCTCACTGTTTTCATCGTCTTCCAATGGATCTTCTCCCCTTGCTTCATTCAAGGCCACCAAAATTTCGGCAATTTTTGACATTGTCCTTTCCTGTTCTAAATTATAAAAAACTAAAGGCTTTTTAGTCAAGGTAAGATCTGGAAAAGTGGGAGACGAAATACCTTGTAAAGTGGCCAGTGGAGTATCCTCCAAAATTGCGCCAGGCACAATTTGACAATGAATTTCTACCATGGCCAAATCCGAGTGCTCCAATGGCTCTGTGTCGTGTTCAGAATCTCCACTAACCTATTCTTGACCTTCGACATCCATAGCAACAGTAGCAGAAAGAGGGGAAGGGCTAGATAACTCTAATGATTCGGAAACAAGGTTATCTTGAGAGGAATTCAACCTACGACATTTACTCATACTATTTAATTCAAGTTGAATTTCTTCACTCATTCTCCTTGAGTTTTCCATAAATCTTTGCCATTTTTTGTTTAATTCCGCTATCTTGGCACATATTTGCTCATTCTCTTTATCCCTAATTTCTTTTTTCTTAATCTCAATTTCAGTTCAGCTCTCTTATTAAGCCTAGCAATTCTTTCATCTAAATCAGCACCTTTATCACTCACGGATTGATTTTTTCGAAGATAGACCTTGCTAAATTCTCCTAATTTCTTCTCACTATGGCTTCCTTCATTAACCCTAGCAACATGAGGTTCTAAAGTTATTTTTTCAGAATTTGCATTGCTTATGGGTAGATTCTTTACTAGGTTATGGTGTAATCTGTCAAACTTTTTTAAACTTTCCACCACCCAAGGATCATTAGAATCGAAAAATACCTTTGTTCCGAGCATATGAGGTGGTTCTAGGAGAATCATACCCTGTGGAGTCGACGGTGGCAGCAACGCTTTCTTTTTCCCCTTTTCTTTGTCTTTCGGTTTGGAGGAGGAAGAGTGCGGGGTTCTAAATCAAATGTATCAATTTTAATATTAAATTTGACAGGAAGTTAAGTAGCTCTTCAATTTTCTATTGGATAAAGTACACAATATTTATAAAAAAAAATGTAGGAAACAAATTAGTATTAAATCTATTCTTATTTTAGGCAAAAAAAACACAACATAAATTGGCAAGATTTTAAAATACTGTTATTTTTAATATTAATTTACGAAAAATATATGTTTTTCAAACCATTTTAAAGAATATTGTTTGAGAAATAGTTTCTTCCTGAGTGTCTAACTATGCTAGAAACAACATTCAAAATGTCGATGTCCATGGATATTGATGTATATTTTTTGAATTAATAAATAAAACTTTAATAGTAGCTTAATTAGTCTATAACTAATCACTTTTAGTGATCATATTTAAATATATAAGTAATATACTTATGAAATGTCGATGAAAATATCGAAACAGAATCAAGTATACATATATAGAAATTATTTGAATTAGTAAATTAAACTTTAATGTTGCTAGATTATATTTTATTGGTCCTTTCTAATCCAACCTAATTTTTAGTTATATAATTGGAAAATTAGATATATATAAAAGATGAAATAATTTTTTAAAAAACTAGATTTAGTTTAAATTTAAATGTTCAATAATAATTAGTTAAATTGATTTTCTTTTATTTATTTGTTTTAAGATTTTTTTAGTTAAATTTAATTTTAAAGTTTGTTTTTTATTTTTAAAATTTCTTTACAATTGTGTGAGATTTCTTATAGTTAAATTTAATTTAAATTTTGCTTTTAATCGATTTTTTATTACTTTTTTATTATTTTAACAAAAAATAACCTTCAAATTCAGTCAAAATTTAAAACCATCTCTTGAATATCTCGTAAGAAAATTAAAAACCATCTCTTGAATATCTCGTAAGAAAATTAAAAACCATCTCTTGAATATCTCATAAGATTTTGTTAGTTAAATTTAATTTTAAAGTTTGTTTTTTGTCTTTAAATAAAAAAAATCTATTTCTTTTTAAGGGTGTGAGATTTCTTATGGTTAAATTTAAGGTAAATTTTGTTTTTAGTTGATATTATTTTTTACTTTTTTTATTATTTTAACAAAAAATAACCTTCAAATCCAGTCAAAATTAAAAACCACAGCTTCCAATATCTGACTCCAGTCATTCAATCTTCGCTATTGAATTTTTTTTTGGGTGTAAATTTCTCTAATCGGTCTCTTGAAGGCTAAAGCATATGCACAGATGGGGTGGTATCTTTCTCTTCGTATCTCTCTTCTTTCCCAATTTCTCCCTTTCGAAGACCCTATTTTTCTTTTGAGTTTGCTGCCAATTTCACCGATCCTCACCATCAAATGCACAGGTTTGTGTGTTTCTCTCTCTATTTTCATAGATTTTCTTCTGGGTTTCGTTTTTTTCTCTGCTTTAGTTTTTTATTTCACTTTTTGGGTTATTTCATGCCGGTGGAAGAAAAATAGGAAGTCTGAAAAAAAAAATGGTGCAAACGACATTTTAGTCGACATTTCGTCGACACGACCACATGGGAGAAAAACTATTCTTCCCCGTATGTCGATGTTGAGGGGCTCGCCACGTCCACATCCACGTGTCGAGCGATATTTAAAACAATGGCTACAAATCATCTTTTGAATAAACACTTTTAAGGGACATGCCATATTAGAAATTAATTTTTGAGAAATTTTCCAGCACTACAGTAATATGGAGATATTTTCATATTACTTCCATTAATTTTCTACATTATTAACATATTTTAATAATAATATATTAATTGATGATGTGTCAAAGAGTATATATTATGGGAAAAAAAATTGTTAGTACAACATATGGGATTGGGTGATCGAACTCATAATCTTTTGGTTGAAGAAATATGTCAGTTACACTATGTGGGAGAAAATTGAAGAGAGATTTCTCCAACTCAATCAAATTATCCGTGTAACTACACGGTAATAAAGCTAGCTTGACACAAGAGGCCTAAATTTGATTCGGAATAACAATTATATATTATACATTCTTTTCTTTAATTAATTATATTTTAAAATAATTATTATTTATTTAGACACTCCATATTCTTTTTTCTTCAACTACGGTTATCTCTATGTTTATTTTGATGAACATCATTAATACATATTTAATATTAATTTAAATTTATAATTTAATAATATCGATATTGATGCAATTTTTGGGAAGCTGATCGAACCGAGAGTTGGTGAACCGGATCGACTGAGTGATAAGGGGAGGTTGGATCTAGATAGGAGAAGCCGAGACTCAATAGGTTGTGAACAGGAGAAGGACGAGATCTTGTTGTTTGGAAGATCGAGAGAGTAGATAGTCTGCATGGACTTTGGAAGTTGAGGTGAAAGTGACTTGCAAAAGGAGAAGATGAGTGGATATCGGCGTGGTGCCGGCCTAGCATACTACGATGCTTTATATGAACTTAAGAGGAGATAAGTAAATAGTGGGTTGAGAGAGAATGACATACCTTCAAAGGTCAGAGACTCTTTCCATTTATAGGAGATGTGATAAGTTTACTAAGGATCATTCACATTGCATGTGCATTGAGCCACATCAAAGGTAGACAGCACTATCGCATATGTCACGCCCGCGCTAAGACGTCGATTGCACTAAAGCGCCTGTACTATAATAGTGCAAAGGTTGCACTATATTAGTGCATGACTACACTATAATCGTGCAATGGCTAAGTTATAGCATGTGTTGCACTATATTGAGAGCTGAAATATTTTAGTGCATGGGTGCACTTTTTTTATTAATAGATAGGTTGTTTTTAGCGTAGCACTATTTTAGTGCTCCGATTTATGTCACACTAAAAAAAATAGCTCTATCAACATATATAGCGTATTTTTCGCAAATTTTAATGTAGTTTTTAGTGCATCCTTAGCGCATCATATAGTGTACCATTTAGCGCATCATATAAGGAAATACTTTTGAAGTTGGATGATTTTGTGAGGAGAGATTTTATAGTTTAAGCTCTTTTGATAAATTCACCCCAACAATTGATAACACGAGACCCATTTGATAACTATTTGTTTTTAATTTTTCTACTTTTGAAATTCCACATTTGTGTTTATTTTTTATTTATTTAGAAAGTAGTTTTTAAAAATTTTCTTTTATTAATTTAAACAAAGTGTATTAAAAATAATAATAATGATGGAGGTAATTTATCATATCTCACAAGTGTCGACATTAGAGATCATCAATTGCCACGATGATCAAGAGAATCAAATAAGGAGATTTTTGTGGAACAAGTTTAAGCAACTCGACAATCGAAGCCAAGTTGATCTACATCTTGTCTACTTGCTAGGTACGAGCCGACCTTGAAGAGTATCAACATGCGCAAAGGTGATAAACATGTTTTTCGACATGACACTGCGCTCCTAGGTGGTTGAAAGCCCTATCAAGAGCTCGCCTCTATAAGTCGTCTCTCATGCAAGGTACGCGAAATAATTTTCTCTCTCTACAATTGGTCGAATAAGTGTACTGACTTAAGTGTCAAAATGCTAACTTTGTTTTGCAGGTCCTTCGTACGTCAGTTACTGAATCCGAACTTTGCGAATCCAAGCTTGATCATTTTCATGATCAAATAACAGCTATATATTTTTTTAATGTTAATTGACATAATACGGAGAAAGTGGAGAAAAAATATCAATTAAAGAGAGAAAGAAATATGAAATATGAAGGGTGAGAATCATTTTAGTTACTGGTTAATCGTTTGAAGGTTTGGCTCCCTAGTTTTATTAGCCATAACCAATTTGCGTTTGTGTCAGGTCGTCGTATTGTGGACAATATTTTGTTGTGTCAGGAGCTTGTGGATGGTTATCATCTGAATAAAGGAGTTCCTGGATGTGTGCTAAAGGTAGATCTTCAAAAGGCTTATGATTCTGTCCATTGGAATTTTCTTTCTGGTACTTTGTTCGCTATTGGGACTCCGCCCAGGTTTGTGAATTGGATTTGGGCCTACATTACTTCCCCCATGTTCTTGGTCTCTTTGAATGGTGCACTTGAGGGTTATTTTCCTGGCTGTCATGGGTTGCGTCAAGGGGATCCCTTGTCTCCGTATCTTTTTGTTATGGTTATGGAGCTGTTGTCTCGGATGCTGAATAGGCCGTTGTCGGTCTTTCGGTTTCATCAGAAGTGTGAAAAGGTTGGTTTGGCTCATTTGTGTTTTGCGGATGACCTGATGATTTTCTCACACGGTGACCTTGGTTCTTTATCCTTTATAAAGGATGTTTTGGTCTCTTTTGGAGTGACCTTAGTTGGCGGGCCTTGTTGCGAGTACTCGGAAGACTCGTCTTTCGGGGCTGGTCTTCCTAATGTTGAGGTGGAGCAGTTGGTGGCCTTTTTAGGCTTTTCGGTGGGTTTGATTCCTGTGCATTGTCTTGGGGTTCCGCTCCTTTCGCACAGGCTTTCTCATCGTGATTGTCAGCCTTTGCTTGCACGGATTGTCTCTCGTGTTTGGAGTTCGTCAGCTCAGGTGCTTTCTTTTGTTGGCCGGTTGCAGCTTATTAGATCGGTTCTGTAGAGTTTTCAGGTATATTGGGCCAGTGTGTTTCTCCTTCCGGCTCGTGTTGTTCATGATGTTGAGCAGATTTTGCAGGCTTTCTTGTGGAATGGTCGCTAGAGCGGGCGGTCGGGGGCTAAGGTGGCGTGGTTGAGGTGTGTATTCCTTAGCGGGAGGATGGTTTGGGTGTGCGTCACTTGGCCTCTTGAAATTCTGCTGCTATAATGAAGCTGCTCTGGCTTCTATTGATGCGGGCTAGTTCTCTTTGGGTGGCTTGGGTGAAGGCCTATATTCTTCGAGGGGACTGTTTTTGGACCGTTCGTGCTTCACCTCGCTTTTCTTGGTGTTGGCGAGATATTCTTTCTTGTCCGGGATGCTTTTCAGCCTTTGGTTCGGTTTGCTATTGGATATGGTCAGCGTTGTTTTGTGTGGCATAACGCTTGGCTTCCGGGGGTCCGATTTTTCCAAGGTTTGGTGATCAGATTATGTATGATGTTGTTAGCTTGTCCCTGTTGGATCAGTATGACAACCCTAGAGGGGAAGGTGAATAGGGTTTAATTAAACTTTTTACTACGATGGACCCAAATTTAAACAAATAAGTAAACTTTTTACGAACAATTAATTTTATCACAATTTAAACAATAAATTAGAAATACAAACACCCTAATTAATGTCACCACCCACATAATTCAAATATAAACATTGAG